CGGGTTTCAGGATCATCCAAAAGTCTACATCTCAGTGTGTCTAACTGAAACGAACTACGAAAGAGAAGAGTGGGAGGAAGTCTGGGATGTGATTTTCAGTCTGCCACTTTGACAACTTTTCACTTCAGCATCCTTCACTGCCAAGGTTACCATTTCTCAATTATCCATTTCCCTGGTGCTGTGTGCAGGCTGCTGCTGCTTAGGGAGCAATTTCAAGGTTTCCTTCTCTGTGTGTATTTACCCTGCGGTTTCCTGTTGTATTTTTTTTCTCCCCTCAGCATTTGCTGTTAAAAACTTCACTTAAATTTTGTTGTTTTTAAGGTGAATGTGACAATTCTGAAAGTGGTGGGACATTTTAAACTGAGGCCTGGCGGATAGCACATTGAATGGGAAGTGGATGCCTTCTCCTGTGGCTCCCACACAAGATCAGGAAGAAACATGCCATTCAGCCTTTGTTCCTTTTCGTTTTCTTCCTTAATACTACCCCTTTGGCAAAAACCTTCCTTCTCTCAGCGTGATTGTTGTTTTAAAGTCAGAATAAAACTCTCATTACAGATTGGATTTCTCCATTCTTCCTTCTTTTCTAGTTTGCCTTTCTCATCTCCCCTCCTCCACCTCTTTCTTACATTTTTCTTCTTCTTTGTCCTTTTATGGTTTCATCCTAAAGAAATGACACCCACTTCTTCCTTCTCACATTGACAACTACACAATATATTTGGCTCTAAAGCACCACCAACATTCAATAAGTACTCATTTACCAGTTATTAAGCTCAACTTCGGGCCAGGCTGTAGGTAGTCACAAATGTATTGGACATAGGTCCTGTGGGATCGTTAGGGATCTTATGTTAGAGTGGAGGATGGAGATAAGTAAATGGGAAATAATAATGCAGTGTGGCAAGTGGCTGTCTTGCATAAAGAAGGGTGCTCAACATGGACTTGGACAAATCCAATAGGAGAAATTCTAACTCGCACTTTGACCAGTGAATATCAGTTAGCAGGGGGGATGGGGGACGGGGTGGGTGGCTGATATGTTTCAGGTGACATGGAGGTGAGGTATGCTGGAAAACATTGAGGAAATTTAGTAGAGTTATAATAAAGTGATGGGAAGAACAGCATAAAATCAGATTAGAGACATAATGAATCAAAAACAAACTTTTTAAACCCTAATACAGGTTTTTATACCTTGCTAAGGATTATAGCATTTTCTACCTCTGAATGTAAAGAGGAATCATGTGAAGATTTTAACCTTATGAAGAGTGTCTTGTGATCATAGTTACATCTTTGGCTATAACAGAGAGAATGCATACATTCAGCCAACAGTATTTACCAGGCACTTATGAAGTGCTAAATACTTCTCCACAAATATAGTTGTGGAAAAGGCACATACCAAGCCTGTCTTTTGGTTTCAGAGGATGACAATTATGGTGGCAGGAAGTCCAGTTAGGAGGCTGTAACCTGTGAAAATTGGTGGTCTACAGTATTGCCATAGGGATGGAAATAAGTGCATACATTTAGGAGATATTGAGGAAGTAGTATTAAGAAAAGATGGTAATTGACTGGTCAGGGATGGGATTGGTAAGAGGGAGAAGGCATGGGTCTTTAGAGACCTCCCAATGTTGACCTTCATTCTGTTTCCTCTTTTAGTTTGACAGCCTGGTGACGTTATGGGTGTTTCCATTTTCATATGTCTATTTATCTGTTTGAACAGCTGTCAGTTTTGTGATCCCATTTGGTGGGTGCATAGTGGAATGGCAAATTCAATGGATCATTGACCTTGTAGCAGAGGCCACTTGCTATGGGAAAACTATTATCAAGAATCATGCTAAGCAGTTCTTCTTGTCAGATGAGTTTTGCTAAACTGCTACTTTTTAAAAGATGATATGCAGTACAATAAAGCTGTAGGGATTGGATGTAGAAGAAGAGGCAAGATCATTGGCAAAAGTGAGAAAATGTAATGTCGTAACAAAGTTCGTAGTAAGAAGGCTGAGGGGAAACAAAGGCGATGAAAGATTGAAAATGGACATTTGTCTATTGAGGGAAGAATTTTATAACAGATTATTTTTCTAAGAGGTTTCCTGATGGCATTTGATCCTGTGTTACTCTGTGGAGAGAGGTTTTTGGAAAAAGTAACACACTCAGATATGCCTCTTGTTAAAAATATCTGCTTGAATTTGTTGAACCCAGAATTTAAAAAAAAAAAAAAAAATATATATATATATATATATATATATATATATATATATATATATATAATGGATTTTTAGACTTAGAGGAAGGGAGAGAGGAGAGAGAAACATCAGTGTGGGGGCAAAACATTAATTGGCTGCTTCCTGCACACCTTCTAACAGGGATCAAGCCCACATCCTGGGCATGTGCCCTGACTGGAATCAAACCCAGCAACCTTTTAGTACACGGTATGACATCCAATCAACTGAGTCACACTGGCCTGTTGATTGGATGTCATACCGTGTTGAACTCAGAATTTTACAAATACATTTGCCCTAATGTTTTTCACTAACACTGCATTAATATTTTCTGGAGCTGGTGCCTCACAAGACACAACTAGGAGAATGCTGGTCTAAGTTATGATCATAGTAAGGGTTAACACTTATCGAGCTTTTATTATCTTCTATGCATAATGTTAAACTCTTACATGAATGATTTTATTTAGTCTTCATATCTACAACACTATGAAGTAGATATTATTATAATCCTCATTTTAGTGACCAAAAAGGATCTTATTAAGTAATTTGTCCAAAGTCATATAGTTAGTAGGCAGGAAGCCAAATTTTAAAACAAATAGTTTAATCTAAAAAGTTAGTCACCTATCCCTTTGTCCATGGTCTGACATGTTACAAGAACAAGGTCCACACAGGACTTCAGCTGTTGATGCCACTGAAACTCCCTTCATTCACCACATAAATGGGATTGTCCTGTCATGTGCTCAAGGATCAACATAACATCCAAATGACTGAACATTCTCTAACTTCAAAGTTGTTAATTGAAGAACAAGATCAGAAACCCATACAAGATTACACAATTAGAAACTGGTAAAGCCTAGATTCAAGTCTAGACAGTAAGACTCAAGAGTGAGTCTATGTTCTTTTTTTAAATTTCTTTACTGATTAAGGTATCACATATTTGTCCTCATCTCCCCATTCCCACCTTAAACCCCTCCCCACACATACCCTCAACCCCCTGTTGTCTATGACAACTGGTTAGGCTCATATGCATGCACACAAGTCCTTTGGTTGATCTCTCCTCCTTATCTCCACCTTCCCTTACGTTGCTCTGAGGTCTGACAGTCTGATCTATGCTTCCTTATCTCTGGGTCTGTTCTCATTCATCAGTTTATATTGTTCATCATTTCCCCTAGATGAGTGAGATCATGTGGTACTAGAAATACACTTATAAGAACCGAAGATGAGATAAGCAATAATGGTTATGCTGAGAAACAAATGAATCAGTCTGTGGTGAGTTTCTTTCTGGGTCAACAGTTCTTTTGAGTCCCAATTTCAATGTCAAACACTTCCTTATGTGTACATGTCAGCAATGATATTTCAGTTCTGGATGGTGGACAAATGGTGGTGATGCAGGTCTGACGTCACTGGTTTGGTTCTGGGCATCCTTCAGCAACACACAGCTGCTGTCTGCTGGTATGGCGAGGCGTCGTCAGTGTCTTCCATCTCTGGACTGTTTCTCTTCTGTCTTCATGGCTGGAGTAGTCCTGTCAATTCCTCTCTGTTGCAGGAATCCACATGGTCTTGGAGTTGTTTTTTGAAAATATACAAACATATTCTCCACTAAAAGTTAATAAAGGAATCTTTTCTATGTTCTTAATCATACAACGTTGCTTTTTCAGCATCTAAATGAGTGTGCATAAGGCTAGGAAATGTTAACATCCATGTATATTACATATAAATGATATATTGATTTATTGTTTTACATATTTATCAGTATGAAAGGCTTCTTCTCAAAACCGTATAGCCACCATTGCTACCAATGAGTCATATTTTTGGAGCTGGAATAATTGGAAACAAAGGTGGGAGGAGAAAGCTAACTTGGAGAACTCAGGAGGAATCAGGCTAGGTCAGGAACTGACCTCAGAACTCACTTGCAGTAGATCCAAGCCAAGAATGAAATTCTGCAGGTCAAGCATGAATGAAGTTGAGAAGGCACTGAGTGATGAACATATGTTTTTATCTCCCTAAAAAATAAATGCATAATGACTACATTTTACATTAGTTTTGCTTTCATCTTAGCAATGTAGTAATATAAAATTTTAATATTAGATAACTGTGGGTTTGGATTTTTATTTTATTATTAAATATTACCTGAGGCCAATTTCTAAATATTGTCATTTATAAAGTGGGGATAGTTATACCAACATCTCAAATTTGTTCTGAAGAGCAACTGAAATAATATTCTATAAAGTGCTAGAGAAAATAGGTGCTGAACGTTTATTGTAAGCAGCTATGATTTTATAACATTTCTTTGCTTTCCTTAGTTTTGTGTGCTCATCTTGAAAATGTGAAGTTGGTACTTTTTTCTATCTGCTTTTCCATATCCCCCTACTTCTGATAAGTATAGGAGTTCAACAATATTAAAATATCTGAGTATCTCCAGCAGTAGTGATGTATAATGACAAAACTGTTATACTGGTGACTGGTTTTTCTTAAAGCACATTAGGAATAATAGATTTGAAGTGACTTTAAAATGGTACTATTTCTCACTGATTTAGGCTACTGTTAAGTGAATGAAGACAGACTTAGGCAGAATCTCTCTTATCTCAAATGAAGGTTGCTTAGAAAACTTTTTTTCCCTCTTCATAGTTTCTATACAGTGGCTAGCATTTTAAATATAATAAATGCAATTTTGTGTAATTTTCAGAAGTTAAATGGGTTAAGGTGTCATGGAAAGCTTTAGACGTGGCATAATTATAATGAAAAAGCAATGGCTTCATATACTTAAGATTTTTATTATTATTTTCTATTTGCAGGATGAGTAAGGGATACTTACAGAAAGCAACAAAAGGAAAACTGCTAATAATAATATTTATTGTAACCTTGTGGGGGAAAGTCATATCCAGCGCAAACCACCATAAAGGTAAGCTCTTCTGCTTTCTTTCTCAGCCACCGGTAGCAGATGGCTTCCTTCAACACTGACCGTTATGTTCCATCTTCACTGGGATATTAATTTTACTGGATATGGGCCCCCCTGGCAATTCTTTGTAAGTAAAAAAAAAAAGCAGAGATATTATGGCTTTGATAGGGGCAGCATGACTATTTAAATGCTTCCGGGATAGTTGCCATTTCTGCAAATTGTGTTCAAAGAGGATGGAATTGTGACTCAGACTTTCACATCATTTACAATTTAAAGAGAGTGATGTTGGAATGTCAGGTTGACACGTAATAAAGATGAGCTTCAGGTTGTAGTCATCCTCATCATGAAAGCATCTTTAATGATATGTGTCTTAACAATATGCATATATGGAAATTTTCCATCAGTGCATTTTGTGAATCACACTTCTTCGTGCCAGGGTACCTTCATCACCACCATTTGGACTCTCCATCTAGTCTGATACTTAGCTGCCTGATTCTGCTATAGAACAGAGTGAGAATATTTGTTTCATACATGTTTTAAGCTTGACAGCTCAAAATTACATCCTGTCTGTTCTCTTTCCTGGGCATGAGACTTGATATTATGAGTAACTACCTCTTTCCAAATGAATGAAAATGGGGCTATTTCTGAGCTGTCCCTACATAATCATGTATTTATAATCTGAGAAGTCAATTTAGATTTTTCTCTGAAATATGATTTTACAGTATAATTATCTTAATTTAGCCTCTGTAAATTCTAGAGGCTAGCAACTTACTTTCTGATTTTGTTTTGGGGTGAAAGGGGAGTTAAGACCACCTTGAATTTTGTAACACTTAAATTAGTTACACGTGTACATTTAATTAGCATTACATGGAACATGAACAGCAGGGAAAGGAAAGATGTGGCATGGAGGAGTGATGTTTATCAGACAAAATCTTTTCTCCCTGTGTGTGTGTTTAAAACTAGAGCCATCTTTCTAAATATGAATTTCATAACCCTGTTTTTGTGCCACTGTGTGTGTTTAATATATATATATATATATATATATATATATATATATATATATATATATATATATATATTAGAGTTTTCTTTAATACTACACACTGATTCACATATCAAACTTTAAATTCTCTTTAATAATTGGTATTAATAAAAGATGTTGAGCATCCTGGGACATTTTTCCCTGTGCCTCCAAAATGGCAACATTGAACCAAACTTAAGGACAAAATAGTGTTAAGTACTCACCTTTAAAAAGAGTTGAAAACCATTGGGGCCAGCCCCCCTGTCTTGGTCTTATCAAGAGAAAACATGTCATCCTTACTATCTGGAGGACTATAATTCTATTTTGTAAATTCAATAACAACCAAAAATTAAGCAACATGCTATTTGGAGGTATATATGTACTTCCCTTCCCAGCTTATAAAAAAATAGGTGATTGAAGATGGGGAGACTCACAGAAACTGTGGCATCAGCCTGGTGAAGCAAGGGTTTGTGAGAAAGATGCTTTCCATCTGCAAAGCCAAGTGATAGGGTCTCTAAGAGAATCACGCACAAGGACTACCCTGCAGTGACTAATACATACACTTTTTAAAGGCTACTTTTGATAATTTTTAAGTTGTGTTATGGTCTATGATAACTCTGAAACTAAGGTTTCCCCTTACTTTTTGCCAAGAAAATACTTCTTGGACATAAGAGATTACACATCTCAGAAAACCTACTTAAAGTGCCAAACCCAGTACATTATAGAATTTTGTGCCCTTTTGGTGTTTCATTCTCACCTTATCACTGATGTTTTGGATGAAGGTTTGAGAACAGATTTCTCTGTATTTTCCTTTTTCCTCATTTCCCTCTTCCTTCCCTTCTTTCTTTTATATTTTCCACACAAAATGCCCCTTTAGTATAATGTATTTTACATTTAAAATAAGAAGTGAAATGTGTATGTGCATTCAGGAATGTTCATAAAACTAACACCAGTGTGCTCACCACCCAATTGAGAAATGTAACATTGCTAATACTCTTGAAGCTGGCTGTGTCTGCCACTCGGATTTCATTCCTTTGCCTCTTTCCCAAGATAATCACTATTTTAAATTTTGCGATTATAATTCCTTTGTTTTTGATTTCACCATGTACGTATATATCTCCAAATGGCATGTTGCTTAATTTTTGGTTGTTATTGAATTTATGTAATAGCATTATATTGTATTTTTCTGTAATTTTCTATTTTGCCAGACAATATATTTGTGGCATTTATTACAGTTGATGGCATGTAGCTGTAGTTTATTATTTTTTTAATGTTGAACCATATTTTATTGTATGAAGTCACCACAATTTATGTATGTATTTTCCGATACATAAGCATTCAGTGTTCTATTTTCTTGCCATTTTGACCGATATTTCTATGAATAATATTGTACTCCTGGTGCATGTGCACAAGGCTCTGTCTCAAGCACATTCTGAGGAGCACGATTTTATGAAGTTTTTGTATTTTCTTTCTGGTCAATCTCATTCATGATACTTTATTTATTTTAGGATTTGTGATTTTTAAAAATGTTGTGAGCTAATGTTCATTGTAATCCTATTGATGACAATTTTAAAAGCCCCTGCTTAGGATACATTCTTCCAGAGATGGTTTGCATATACCAAGTGCCTTAGGTGAGGTTCCCTAGAAGCAGAGCCATGGCTGGAATTCTGGTTTATATTATTCATTGAAAGAGTGGCCCCAAGAGAGCAGCAGGACAGAGCAGGAGATAAAAGTTAAGCACAAATAGAGTCTCAGCTGGAGAACAGCCTGGTCAGGTCCTGGGAGGCTCTGAAACATGATTTGCTCCACAGAATTGGTCTGTCCTTGAGGTGAGATGGACAGCCTCTTCTATCCTTGGGTCCACTGGCTATGAATCTATTATCCATGGTGTGGAGAGGCTTTCTTGGGGAAGAGGCTACTCTTTAGCAGAGGGTGAGTCTCCAAAGAAGGGTGGGGCTTTGAACAGTAATCTAACATTTACAGCAAATGGAAGACAGGTGCACAGTTGATAGAAAGGATCTTCGTAATGAACCAGCCTATCGTCCTGTGCAGTCTCCTCCTTGTGCCCCTTCAGATCTGCTTGCTTCTCAGTTAAGTTTACTCCATCCAGCCCTGGCCAGTGTGACTTAGTTGGTTGAGCGTCCTTCCTGCCCTGAAAAGTTGCCTATTTTATTCCCATCAGGGCACTTGCCCGGGTTTCTGGTTCAATCCCCAGTAGGGGTCATGAAGGAGGCAGCCAAACAATGGTTTTTGCAACAATGTTTCTCTCCCTCCCATTTCCTTCCTCTCTCTCTAAAATAAATAAAAACATGTTTGTTTGTTTTTTAAGTTCACTCCATCCTGGCAAAGCTTATAAAAGACTCTGGTTGGTTAAAATTTCCAAGAAATTGTACTTGATCAAAAATGGGGCCCCCACTAATGCACTTTGTAACCAGGGCCACTACCAATGCTCATTGTCTGCTCATGCCCCTAGACATTTTAGGTTCCCCTCTTCTCCAGCTAGCACTTCTGCTCATTAAAGAGGCTTGCCTCATGTTTTATCCAGATCACATAGCTGAGGGTTCTGAACCCTGAATTATTACACTCTTAAGCTGTGGTTATTGTACAAACACATTTGTAATCATACTAGAGGCCCATGCATGGATTTATGCACTGGTGGGTGTCCATGGGCCTGGCCTGTGGGGATCAGGCCCATACCAGCTCTCCAACATCCCCCGAGGGGTCCTGGATTATGAGAGGGTGGTTTTCGGGTGATGTACCCCAGAATCTGGCTCCCTCCTCTCTGGTTCCAGGTGTATTACCTGAGAACCACTGCTACCAAGGGACCACAGCTTGGCAGCTCCTGCATTGAGTGTCTTCCTCCTGGTGGTTAGTGCACGCCATAGCTACTGACCAGTTGGCCAGTCGGCTGTTTGGCTGTTTGGCTGGTCAGTTAGGCTTTTATATATATAGATTTAGTCACGGTGATGTCAAGAAATGCCCAATGGATCATCTGAGAGCCTAACATAGTCTTACCCATCCCAGTATACAGGAGATACCCTCTACATCATGATCGTCATGGTCCTTACGCCAACAGTATCTAACTCCTTTCTTTTTCACTGTCTGTGGGGCTGAGTAGTAGCAGCTATAGTTTTGTGTGTAGCAGGACTCTTACTCTTGTCCCTGGTAAAAGCATCTTCTTTCTGGGAAGCAGTACTTCTAAACTCACAGAGTCTATTTGTAGTTTTCATAAGGAATATTTTAGATTGGATAATTCTGATGAAATATTTGTTTTACTTAATAATTTTTGAGTACCTACAATAAAAGCTTAGAGTATAGCAGAACATAAAGGAAGCAAAATCTTTGTCTTTATGGAGTTTTTGTCTAAGAGGTGGGAAGATAGTTAATGAAAACAAAAATAAAAGTTTTCTGTGTAAATGTTATGGAAAAAAAAATAAGGAAATAAAGAGGTATAGGAAGTATTCATGAGGAATTGTAATTTTCAATAAAATCTTATAGTAAGACCTAAAGTTTTCAATAGAGACAAATATGAATATATTTGGGGGAAGGATATTTCAGGCCCAGCAGCAATAAGTATGAATGCTTTCAAGTAGAAGCATGCTTGCAGACAAGGAGAAATGGTAAGAAGAGTGGTGTGAATAGAACAGAGCATGCCAGAAAGAGAGTAAGACATTAGGTCATTACAAAACAGGTTAATATAGGAGAATAAAAAAAATTGAATAGATAGCTCATCAAAACACCGGTGTAATGGCTTTATGCTCTCAAAAGCAACCCAATGCAGTAGTATTGTGTTATTCTGATTTTTAAACATGATGTAGAAACACTTGTAGAAATCTAGAGTATTTGGATTTGAAAAATGAGAAATCTAAAAATCAGAAAATGTCACCTGCTTACTAAAATCCTCTGAGCTTTGGGGACTAAAATATCCCTCACAGATGAATTAATTTACTGCTTAAACCACCACAGAGATTCAGCCCTGAAT